TTTTGAATACACACAAGCCGCTAAACTACAAAAAGTTGACATTCAAATCAATGTCGAAGGGGTCACGATAGTTGACACTAAAACGAAAGCAATCCTGCATCGTTATCCTCTCCAGAAGATATCCTTTTGTGCTGATGACAAGCAGGTACGAGTTAATATCGATTTGGTGGTTTTAAAATTGATTTCGGATTTTTTAGTGTAAGGAGTGCATTGCTCTACTTTGATTTCCATATTTAGGACAAACGTATTTTCTCATTCATCGCGAAATCTCAATCTGATCCCGAAAAGCATGAGTGCTATGTGTTTCTTAGTGATAAGATGGCCGAACAAATCACACTGACTGTTGGAGAAGCGTTCGATTTGGCATATAAGGTTAGCGAACTCGTTTGACCTCCTTATTTTTTGCGTTATTCTGGATTCCTTTGAAAGGCGGGAGTACCATGGTAGGGCTTGGCGTGTGCTAGGTCGTGACCAGGACACGTCTTACTTTGGGGATCCTCAGCGAGGGAGTCGTATTTGGTCGCTGGAGGGAGGAGGAAGGTCGCACTCGTAACGAGGAGAATGTTTTCGGTTGTTTCTCTTCTGCGTGCTGTTTTCGGTTGTTGACTTTTCTCTGCGCTGTATGCCCCCTCACTCCGCTCGGCAGCAGTTGGTTTTTTGAGGAAAAAGTGGAGACGTGGTAGAAAGTGGGGGAAATTTTGGAGAATGGTAGCTAGGATGGGGAAGGAGGGTATCAGAATAGCAAATCTGGAGGGAGGGGCTGGTATTTTGCGAAAATTTCCTCCAACACCAAGGTGTCCCCATATCGTGAAACCCAATGAATCTGTTGAAAAGTCGGGCAGGAACAGTGGGGAGGGGGCATGAGAGTGACCGGATTGAAGTAAGAGTATTCCTCAACCTTAAGTCAGATGTGCAGATGTGTCTTTGCAATCTTTTTCAGTGTTCAAGATTTTGGAAATAACCTGCGTTACTTAGCTTATTTTTCAGCGGTACCTGGACAAGAACAGGACTTCATTGGAGAATCAAAAGCAGGTACTATTCTGAAAGTTTTCATACCTTTTACCTATCATATGCCTATAATATAAGGGACGAAAATAAGGGTAGATTTTGAGTAAAGTGCGTCACCAGCATCAGGTCGCATGAGGCCGGAGGACATTCGGCGGTTCAATAGATTGCGCGACGAGTAAAGTTTAGATGTATACGTATAGTTTCCGGATCTATACGTATAGTTTCCTCGTCACGAAGTCTCTCGGATCTGCGCCGAGCTTCCCCAATCTCCGAATCTCTTCAGTCATCATAAACGCGGCCTAAGGAATTTGCCTAAGATGTGCCCCAGTTGAGACTGGCAGTAAATTTCGAAGATAAGTAGCCAACAATTGCAAATGGTTCAGAATCTTACCAGAGAAGTCCGCCAACCTACCATGGAACTTCGAATGGAGACCCAGGGTGTTGATAGGGTCCTTAATGGTGTTTGCAAATATGAAGACCAAAGTTGCTATCTGCATCTCACAGGCTAATTTTGAGCAGGCAAAACCCCTGAACTCGCTTAGGACTGGTCACCAGGACGCCTGTAGCTTGGAAGCTCCACGTTTTTGAATGGAATGGATATGATATCCGTGTTCAGGAGGTCAAACTGCCCCTAGGCACGATGTCTCAGCCAAATCAAGACTATGACCAAAGCTTCGAAATATTTCACTGAAGGGGATAGTATCAACATTTTTCTCATTGCGCAGCTACTGATCCGTTTCATGGCGAATTTTTGGCGATCCAAGAACAAAATGGTGAGAAAATGGAAGGAAGTGGGAGAGGTGGGCATTAGCGTTCGCAGCACCAATGTGAACTGTGCTTACCCAGTCTGCCGAAATTATTTGATCGAAACCAACTGTTGCAGGCCGAAGGTTTGCGATCCGTGAAGGTGTTCAGTTGCACTGCAACTATCCTCTTCATGACGCCTTCATGTCCAAGATATTTGACCCTTTATATGTACAGTGCTACTTAGAATTATCAAAAATCTAAATATTAAAAAAAATCGTCGAACTTTGGATAAGGGTTTACATGGGTGGTAAAACAAAAAACTAGCACTGAACCCAGTTGATACCGCTTCCTTACCGAGGGACTTGCCACTGCGCTACAGCCATACTTGTGGCTCTATCAAGCGGAACTCTTTATGTGTCATGGGTATATTGCATGGGGATCACACCATTGTAAATTTTAAAAGCTTTTAACACGCTTGGGAAATGCAGGTAGCAGTTTTGGTTTCCATTAAAAAGTATTCCAGACCCTGTCGATCTACCTAGGTCTCTATTCAAAATTCCATGGTAAGTCGGCGGACTTTAGTTTGTTGCAAGCTAAGCAAGCTCACTGACTTGTAATGCATTAAATTTGTTCCGTAATGCGGCTTTCAAAATTAGTGGATAGGAACCGTAAATAAAAAAGTTGAGTACTGATGATGATATCATTGTGAATTGGTAGGAACAAGAATCACTATTGAGCGCAGTTTGTCGCTACTTCAGGTATTCGTGCTACGAAAAAGAATAGCGGAATTGGAAGCCGAAAATCAAGTGCTTAGCCAGCGATTAGCTGAAGCAATTAGAGCAAACAAAGCCACTCCGCAGGTGTGTTGATTGGTCTTTTTTGTGATTTAGTTTTTACATGTTACTACAATATATATTTCTGCAGTTGTCGTTGCTTGACACACCTGCCTTACCGTCATCCCCAATGCCATCTGGTCCACCCCCGGGAATAGTGCAAAATGTGAGCAAATTTTTGGCTTTTCTTAGAGATTTAGTACGTCTTGCTGTAGAAGACGCATTTCTTTTTGACTGACAGCGTAACTTTTCTTTTTTTTGCGATTTTTTATGAGTTTCCTAGCGAAGGGGCTTTAATCACCGCTGTTTTTACATATCGGTTTGTTGCGGCTTGCATTGAGCATCTCAGATCGCCCTCAAATTTGTAATAGCATGTAAACTGCCTAAAAAAGCAAATAAGTAAATAAATAAATAGACCATTTGCGGGTGCTTGAGTTCTCCTCTTGTAACTAGAATCTCTAAAATTCTATATATTTCTGAATTAGTCATTTTAAGCCGGTCTACTCGACGCCTCACAACACACAAGTACTGCCGACCGATCCTTTCTTGGGCCTTGCACCCACTGTTAACTCCGCAGCTCAGATAAATGGTGAGTCTTGTGTTTTTCCCCTATGGTTCTGCTCTCCTTAAAATGTTTCTTCAGGCCATAATACCCCACACGCCGTGAGCTACTCGCCATCGGGACCGGCTCCATCGCTTGCTCCACCACCATGTCCTCTTCCAACGCTGGCTCCACCTCCACCGGTGGCTCCTCGTAGGAATCCCCCTGCACGTGCCAATACAGTACCTGCTCCGGAGGTCAACGAGTTGGCTGAAAAAGAAGTGCTTGAGTTCACTGATCATTGTCTGGTCACTGTACTAGCACTTTTTAGGTCGGTCGAAGACTTCAAAATTTGCAATTGGACCATATGGAGGATGTCTTCGATGACAACTTTGATCCTCGTGCGAACAATAAATCCAAGGATAACAAAGAGTATGGTGAGTGTAGTTGAATATGCAGGTCTTGCATTTGGGTAGCTGAGTTGGGAAATATCCTGCAGCCTCTCTTCTTGCCCCATCCCCTTTCCAGATTCTGCTTACCATCCTCTCGAATCCTTTCAATCACACTTTCACGCAGAAGTTCTCGTCTCCCCCCCCCCCGTCCCGCTCCCAAATGAGGTAACTCTCTAGTGGGGCAGGGGGGGGGCGGTGTGGACAAGAAGGGAGAGGCACTGAGATATTTTAATCGACCCTGATGAGTCGACCAAATGCTAATATTATTGTCGAAAGAATGAGTGAGGATGGTACGGTTACAATGCTCGCGAAATGGGATGGGTAACCGGGTGGTCGTACCAAGAGGGTTCTTTTTTTTGGAGGTGGAGGCGTGGGGGAGGGGACGCGTATCGCGAAATTTTCCCGAGCGGCAGGAAGCCCGTCTCTCTCTGTAGTAGATTGCCATTTAGCTGTGTCTTTTGGACAGCGGCAGCGCACACTAAAATCGGTCCAAGCTTTGTGCTCAGATTCTATTCGTTTACCATTTGCTGGTGTTGAGATAAATCGTGGCTCTGCCGAATCATTTTACTTTGTCACCGATGCCTTAGCTTTTTCCTGTTTCTTCTGTCTGCTCAAATCGCGAAGTGCACAGTTCGGAGCATGCTTGCGTTGAGGTTTGGACATAGACAATGCGGTTAACATGCCTTTCGGCTGGGCGTGACGACGGCGACGCCGTTTAGTTATCCTTGCCTGGCCATTTGATTAGGATATCAGGGTGAGGATGAGGAAATTAAATATTTTCCGTGTATAAAGGTTTGTGCTTTGCTCGGTTGTCATATAAGTTTCGCACTGCCCCAATGCGTCGGACCCGCAACCAAGTGATGCCCGCACAAAGAGACTTGCACGCATAGCCGCACGAGTTATCCTGTGCGCGCACCTCGACGCGAGCAAATTACGATTCGTTTTGTCCCTTCTGTCGCTGTGATTGTGGTGATGGCAAGGGAGGAGAGTTGTTCCAAAAAGATGAACATAAGAGCACCCGAGCATATTGGCTATCGAGGATGTCTGAATTCATGAACCAAAACTGTGTCTTATTTGTGATTCTTTTTTCTTGCGAATGTGTCGCTCACCACTGCTGTAAAAGTCGTCATCTTGAAAAAAAACTCTTTCAGATCCCTTCGGTGACGATTTCCTCGACAATGTGCTACGACTTGGTGATGAGGCTGGCCGCTCACAATGGTGCCCACAATTTAGATGCGGCATCACACGACCGGCGCGGCAGACTTCCAGAAGATTATATCGACAGATGTTGATAAAAGGTATCGATTTACGCGCGTGCCCAGCGTAGCTGACTTTGGGTTTGGGGGTGCCGGTTGCGGCGAGATCCACGTTTATCGCCTCGCATGCGACGTTGCAGGTGGTGTCACGTACGCGGAGATCCGCACTAGCACCTGACTGAGTCGAGCTTGAAAGTGTTTAATACACGTCAAGGCCAGTTAGATACGAAATGCTAGCAAGTTTTGCGACGCACGCGTAACTATGTTGGTTCGCGAGGATCTCATCAGCCGCCAGAAAAGACTCACCTCATTTTACTCCCCGTTCAAAAAACCGTCATACGAGTACCCCATGCTTTTGATGACCTAGCCGAGATGTCGACGGGCTTTTCTGAAGGGCACCTGGAGATGGGCCAAGTGTCTCCAGGTGAATCACTAGGAGACATTTGGAGGAGAACGAGTATGGAACCCCGTGGGATAAGTGAACGAGCTCGTTTGTGATGACGGGTAAAAAAGCGTAGAAATTTGTTTCTAACTTAACTGTAGTGCTGAGCTTCATTCTCTTATGTCTGCGAGGTCATGGTCCCATTGCATAATATATTTCGTTGTACTAATTTGAACGCAGTTCGGCGACGGAGGGAGATAATTTTGAATTTTTGCCGCTTTCGTTGTTGTGTCGAGTCAACAAGTAGAGATTTGTGAAATTTTGTGAACCCATGCGATACCAGTGTGAACTTCATAGAGACTACTTGTCAGCTCTCGTGAAGAATACCTGTCAGTTCTTGTAAAGCAATGACACGACAATGGGAGGCAGCGGAAAGTGTAAAAGGTCCCGCCCCTCTCGTCGCTGAGTTGCGCCCTCCTTTGTAATCATACCACGGGGCCAAGACTTTGGCAATACTTACGCATTTGCTATTTTGATTGTGATATTTGAAACAGCCTTTGATAAAACACGAGTTTGCTTGAAATTTACTTAAATTCGTTTTGCATTTATTATTAACACTTCTACTAACCGTTGTTTGTTTGGATGCAGATTTAGGGTTTTCGTACAGTTCAGCTCTTCACCCCGATGTTCTCTTCATACTTTGTTGATGAGTAAGCAGAACAGGGCACGTCGTACGTTGTAAATCTTCAGCGGGGGTCCTGTTCCGTCGGTTGAGCGAGGGAGGTCGTATTTGGCTTGAGAAACTTTTTTTGATAGTTTGTTTTCCCTGTTTCACGCGCGCTATCTACAACCTAGGGGAAATTAAAATGAAGCTAGGGGTCGTATTTACTCATCGTTTGGAGAGAGGAGGATCGCATTATCCATAGTTTTCCCTAACGGCAGCAAAAGCCCTAAAGGGGCAGCGTACTTTCGTTCATGCTCGTAGAGAAGCTGCCACAGCAGGGACAAGCTTCCAGACCATCTTTTCTCGATGCGATCACCCCCACCCTCCCCCCTCCAACGCCGCCTTCTTGTCGATACGACCCGACATCCGTAAAGCGGAAGAGGCGTAAAAAAGACAAAAGATTGACTGGATTCTCTCAATGAACTGCACTGCCTCAGCAGAGCTAAAAACTAGTTAAGATTTATCTACGCCTGAAATCGCTGCCATCGCTTATAAGGAAAAATCGTTGACTATGGAGAAAAGTCGAACAAATGAGAAAATTCGGGGGGGGGGGTACAGAACAAAGAATTTCTCGATGTACCCTTGATCCTGCACTTACTGGTCTTTCAAGGCTGATTTGCTTGGGGCGGTTGGGAAGAACTGTACGAATATCACTTGACTGTCTTCAAATCGTATTCTGTTGAACTACACAGAAACACATTACGGTAGATTAAATTGTATGTACTTTGTATTACTAGCCAGCTGCTTTTCATGGTCTATAACCTGTCTGTAGTGTGAGATGTGCCTTTCCATTCCTAAATGACGTTTTGTCAGGTTGTTTTGATGCATAATTTGATAGCACTGATATGTGATATTCACAGTTTTCTTGGAATATAAATAGTATTTGTTCGTAAAAGGCGAATTTTGCTGGAGAACAGAGATTTTCACACATTTTCGTGATATGGTAGGAAAGGTGCTAGCACTGTCACTCAGCTCACTAGTTTAATGACTTCATGACTTTGCCTCCTCAGTAGCGTAAACGGGAAAAGAGACCAACGGTTTGGAACTGGGGAGATTGGGAGTCAAAGAAGTAA